CCCCCCGCTCATGGAGACTGCGTATTACAGTTGATTATAGTTCCTGGGTTCCCTGTGGTTATATTTAGCCACACGAGTCCAATTCCAGAGTCAAACCTACCTCCTATTTTCCACCACGACGACATCTTGGTTCTAGTAAGAATAGTGAAGGAATACCAAATCGATCAGAGCACACAAAAAAGAACTTTTTCACAGAGTAATCTCGAGCGCCGCCGTTGTCGTCGTAGCATTCAAGTTTTGAGTTCTAGTTTGTTCACATACTACCAAAATTCTGGTGCATTTGGTGTAACAAAATGGTCATCAATACACAAGGAAATACTTGTCGTAATCAATTCACGTCATAGACTGATACCGAAATTGTTTTCACACTACATCCAACTTCTGACACTTCCTTAATGTTTCGTTGACCTTTCCGGTTACAGAGCTCGCGTAAAATGACCCCCTAGCGCGCTGCCAAATAAATCTAACTGGTGATTTGTACATGTATACAGCCAAAACAAGGTCAGCTTGGACGTTCAGTTGCGAGACGTAACAAAAAAAAACGCAGCCAGTGATACATTTTGAAAATAAAAATACAAAATAAACGCAATCAGAGGCGCCGACCACGCGCGTTGGTAATAAATAGAACGCGTTGTGACACAGTCTCACCAGCCTCTTTCACTGACGCAATATAATTATGCTATTTCCCAACGCACTTATATTTAATACATTGACGAAAAACACCACAAGAAAAATGTAAATCAGGCTTGTAATGACTAGTAACTCAACTCGAACGCAATATTCATCACTGTAAAAGTGGATAAATTCGAACCAGCCAGCTCATGACCGGAGACGTCCACTCGTCTTCGTTGATAACTCGACAATTCACCATAATCGTGGTGGTGAACTGTTTAGCTGATTTTTCAAAAGATGGACATTCAATTCATATTCATCCCAACTTATTTGAATATTCTTTCGGGAATTTGAGACATTGTTCAAAAAATTCTGTACAGTTATATGTCTGATGTCAACTGATAATACGCAATTATCCAGCCAGTACTAGAAATCATTGCTGATAGTAAACATGTTTTGTCAAGTTGGATACTTGAACGTGTAGTTCTCGGGCGTGTAGTAGGCGAGCATAATCGTACTGTCACATGTTTTTCGTCTTAGCCTTGTCTTTTCGTCTTAACCGTCGCAGTCCGCTTCATTGAATGTTTAGTTTGATAATTTATAAACATATACTAGTATTCACTGTCAGACTGTTGCTTTCAAGTTGCGTTAATACAAAGATGATTTAAACTTGTCCCTTCCGTTGTCAATCAATATTGTTTAGCCAATCAGAATTCATCTTCCGAGCCAGGAAGATGCAGGTGAGATTTCTCGTCGCAACGCGTTCTATTTATTTCCGACGCGCGTGGTCGGCGCCTTTGATTGCGTTTATTTTGTTCTTTCATACTTGAAATCTATCGCTGGCACCGTTTATTTTGTCATGTCTCACAACTGAACGTCCAAGCTGACTTTGTTTTGGCTGTAATATTGACTTGCATGAAGCATTTGACAATCTGGCACAGTGGCCTCTATTTGAAACTTTTAAAGAAAGCATTTCCGGCAAAATATACAGTTTTATCGGAGTATATACTTATAATGTTTTTTTAATACTTATTTGTCTAGGCATTATTACTAAGACAGTATTACTAAGTTATACAAATTCTGGTTTTAAAATGATGCAAAAGAGTTCTGCTTTTGAAGCCTAGTACTTGTTATACATTCACAACAAAAACTAACAGAACTCGGAAATCACACTTTCCACGATTTTGTAGTTATTCTCCGTGGACCCCCGTCCCATTACCGTTTTTAGGTTTTACATCAGACCCATAATAAATTCTTAAATTTTACAGATGCTACATCTAGCCCCACGACTTTGTAACTCGGTTTACCTTGTCCTCACTGAGCTTCACCAATTTTGCATTTACATCCATATGGAGTATCGAGAAATCATTGTACTTCGTATCAGCGGTGGAAATTCTTTTGCCCTACTCGCTCCACTGCATGGCTGGTAAGCCCGGTATGTATATGTGCTGCCAAAATGGGTCCCACATTCACCACTTCTGTCTGAAAAGGGGTATGTTATTGTACCCTGTCTGTCTAAAAAGGGGTATCCTTTTTTCCTTATTTCTGTCTGAAAAGGGGTCCATATTTTCTAAAGACTGTCTCTAGAGCTTGAGTGATCCAACAATCAGGAGATTTTTCTTTCTGTAAAGCCAACCTGCTTTTCCCTTACTGTCTGGAAAGGGGTGTCAAATATCCACAATTTGTCTGAAAAGGGGCAGGCAATTTGAGTTTATTTCTGTCTGATTTGGGGTAGGGGTTTCAAACAACCAGGTACCAAAATGTTGACAGGAAAGATTGAAGATGTATTTCAGCGAATACAACTTGAATAAAGTATTCTTATTCTTGGCCGAAACATGGCTAAATACTCGGGAAAACCAGTCTATTTATGCTTTGCGTACCCAACCTTGAAAATGTGGTTTCTGCCGTTTTTCCATCTGACACGTTGGCGTGAGTGGCGCACTCTTCTGACGGTTCCGTGAAGTTGGAGACATCGACAGAGGGTGCCACTCACACCACCGTGTAAGCTCGCAGCTAGCAGGAAGAGAAACTCGATACCAGTAGGTGATCCTCGCCCGACGAGAAAGTAACACGTGCAATTCGCAACGTTGACTGCAAAAAGAATTGTTGCGCCGGTCAGCAGGATCGATATTTTGTATGTTTGTTAGTGTCCCAGAACAAACTATAATACAATGTATTTATATTATAGAGCTGCATTGAACAAAAATGTTGTATATAAGTTACCAATTGCGTTAATCGACTAAACGTGACTAAATCAGTCTTTTTCTCACGTCCATGTGTTTGAACATGGAGTGACTTTCTATGGTTTGAAAATAGGGTTTGACCATTTCTAGTGTCAAGAGATGTATTCGTTGCGAATAATGATGATACATTGTGAATGGATGGTAATATAATTTCTCCATATACGTCATAATCGTGTCTATGCGACTTACCCCTTATCCCTGTATAATCCTACATTCATTTTGTGGTGAAAATTCAAACGTACAAACTATAACCTCAATGGTTTTTGTGAAATCAGTCGGAAGTCTAGTGTAATGTGGTCACGTGACGTAATGTAATTGAATTGCGATGTAGTGAGTCTTTAGAATAGTAGAAATAATACAACATGGGAGTAGGGTATGACTTTTCGGATAACTGTCCGATAATTATCGAAGTTTTAGATCAATATCAGAATAAGATAGCATATAGTCCGGGCATGCCCAAGGAATTCTTGGAGTTTTGAATTCTCGGATAATTAAATGATAATTGTTGAAGTTTTTTTTATTGATATCAGAAAGTATGGATGAAGTAGGGGCTGACTTTGAGTCCAACGCAGCTCTTGTGGACTGTCTAATATCGACCTCGTTTGGGGGTCTTGAATTCTATGATAATTGTAGACGTTTCAGATCGGTATTAGGAAACACAACTGTTCGCTCCTTCTGTGATAATTGTCCGATAATGAAACAAATCCAATATTCCGTCTTCGTTTTACAATTGATATTCGTTTTACTCGACCGTAGACAAGTCGTAGAAGTGTATCGACTGGTGGCGCCTTTTGACAACACTGCCGTGTACGAGTAACACAATTATGATTCAAGTCGTCGATATACAACTGGGTGTTTACGACAACAAATGTGGACGTTCTAAGACATGTTCACCGAATTAGAACGTAGCTGAGTCAGCTGAAAACTCACTGCTAGCCCGCCCTCTATAAGCGGTTCATGTCAAAACATGTCTCAATGAGTGACGTCAGTGTGTTATATTTAGCAATTTACTGAACAAGTCGTCACTAGACATGGTGCGCACAATAGGTTTAAAGGTAAGACGGGGCGTATAAAAGGCGAGTGATTTGCCAATAACGAAGCAGAAGTCAATAAACCATTGAACGAACTACATAGAGAATTGAGTACCCTAATACGGCAAAACAATTACCGTTACTTTTAATTAACATTATAATTTAAAATGCCAGCCGGTAAGATTAAGGTTCCAGATTTTGTTCCCCAACCGTTGTTAAAACAACACGATGCATCTGTGTTGGATTTAGCATTCGTTATGGATTGCACTGGCAGCATGAGCAGCTGGATTACCGAAGCCAAACAGGTACTGCCCGGAATACCAATCTCAGCGCTTAATTCTGTACATTTATACATTATATTGGTGAGATGTAGATATATAAGTGCCTTATTTTCCGTCTTCCGTCTTTTTAACGGTTTCATTCTACTTTCTACTGCTAGAGTATCCAGAGCATAGTGGACGAAATCGTTGCCAAGGAGATGTCCGATATCCGTCTCGCCTTAGTAGAATACAGGGACCATCCTCCTCAAGACCGTTCATTTGTAACACGTGTGTTGGATTTCACGCCATCTTTGAAAGAGATGCAGAAGAAAATGAATGGAATGAGTGCCAGTGGAGGTACGTGAACCGTACGCGCCTTTTCCAGGGATTTTCGTGTGACGGTGTCAGGTTTACGAGAATAA